TACCTTTACGAGGAATACCTACATGCTTGTTTTTTCCCTTGATCTGATTGTATATTGAATGTTTCTTAATGCATCGAACCAATCCTCATGATATACAATTTCACGTACAAAATCCAACAATATAACCAATGCATATCTTAATCAAACTTCATCATTATGCATGAACAATTACAGCGCAACTCAGTTACTCCAAAATTTGTCCACAACAGCAAAATCCCAATTTTCCAAAATTTAAAATTTTCCAGCAAAGACAGTACAAGCTAAAAACAGGACAGAGTAAAAGCAAAAGTTAAACTGGTAGCGCACACACACGATACTGAAATTTCTCTTTTTTTCCCTATTTTTGGCAGGGTGCTATATGTAAAGACTAGCAGACACGATTTTACAGCATGAGTCAGCTTTGAAAACCAGCCAATATGGACAAGAGTTGTTGCAGATCTCTCGGCATGTTTAAGTACTTAGCTTCGGATTAGTGTAGAATTAAATTCCCAAAGTGATTGCACCATTCAGGAGCAAGCATGAGTGGTCACATTATGCACTGCTTTCCAATTAAACTGACACTTTGTTGCATCGCAGTTACCAAAACACGCATGAATAGCATACCTTCTCATCATCTACGGTCTCCACACATGCAAGATTTTGAACTCTAGCTGTAAATGGCAAATGGAACCATGTTAATAACAGATAAATGCATGTGGAGTGTAGGCAGAAGTTAGTCGATTAAAATTAAAAAATTAATGCATAAGCAACCCAAACATTCAATGGAAACTTTTCGAGAAGAGGGAACAAAATAGCTCATTTGTAGTAAGAATATTCACTCCAACAAAATTCTCCTCTAAATCTCATAGGTTCAAGTTCCCAAGAACAACACTAAGATTCGTCATAATTCTAGTTTGGAATTTATAGCATGTCATCACAGAATTGAACATAATAAAGATGACATGACTTCAGTTCAAGGTGCTAAAGAAACAATTCCCAAGAAGCTATATTCAACAAAAATTCAAGGATTAAACTGTCCATACCCAAAAGAGGCTTCACTTTATTGCTCGCAAATTCCTAATGAAATGCCACTCGATATCATCTGGGAGTTGCAAGAGAAAAAGATTACTCAGTTAGATTAGGAATGTTCAATCATTCTTCATTGAAACATTGAAACGAAAAAGAGCAAAAAATAAATCTATAGTTAAAACCTTGATAAAAGAGGTAAACAATAAAGAGATATGACGGAATAAAGTCAAACAGGCTTACTTAAAAAACAAGACGAAGGACCTGAGGAGCTTTCTCAACAAGCTCCTGAACCTAATTCTCACCAAAGCATCAATGGCCAGCATCATAGTCCTCGCGGATAATAGAAACTGACTTAATCTTACTAACAACAACAAGTAGAATCTGTTGAGAAGTTTGGCCACACTGCTCAGCAGCCTGTTGAGCTCGTTATAGGACATATCTGAACGACGCTATGATGATACCATCCATGGCCACTGTCAGTCAGCATTATTTGAGAGCACAACGTAACTGAGTGTGTGTCTAGGCAAAGGACAGGGCAAGTCGTTGTGTTGTGTGTGCAAGGAGGAGAAAAGGAGGTCAGGTGTGCTGTGTATGTGAGGAAGGGACCATTCAAGCTATAGAAGAGACCGGAAGGAGACAAGAGAAGAGGAGAAAGGCCATTAATTCTTGTGTACCGTAGGTTATCTGTTTTGTTAGCTGAAAAATAAAAAAAGTATTAAAATTTTTTTTCCCATATGTTTCATTATAATAGAGGAGAAAGGCCATTAATTCTCGTCTAGTTCTGAAAACAACATATGAAAAACGCTACGTATTTTCATTTGTTTTTAAAAATAGACGAGAAAAGTTACTTCTAATTTTCTAAAACGAGCTCATTAAAATTTTTTCTTCCTTCTCATTCCCTCAATTTCCTTCATACCAAACATGGGGTTACACTATCTAAAAATAAGGGTGTCTTGAAAAACTAAATTACATTTTTTACATATTTATTATTTTTAACAAATTTTAACCAAATTTTTGGTTTGCATAATTTAAAGTCATGACAAGATTGGAGTATTACACATGCATTTGTTTTTATTTTTCTTTTCAAAAAAAATAATTTTTATTTTTATTTCCAAGAAATACTAGGATATGGAGGACTAGTATTATTATCCGTCACAGGTGGACTTGTCAGTTCTTTTTTTTTGGGTCAAAAGGACTTGTCAATTCATCCGACGGCACAGAGCGACTCCATCACCAATAGGAAGCATACAAATACAAATTTCAATCCTAGGGTCCACAGCAAGAGTCTTGTTGAACTCCAACACAAAATCTCTACAAGTGCCAAAATATGGGAGATAGTTAACTAATTCATATAGATTAAAAAAAAGTTATAAGTTAGTTAATGGTAAAAAAAAAGTGTTAATATCTCTAAAGTATTTTTTTCTCTTAATAAATTATATAGAAGCCATCCCAATTAATTATATATACTAAGGTATGCGTAAATGATAAAAATAATTTAAAAAATAATGAACGCGTAAGAGGAAGAAGATTGAGGTTTTACTTTTAATATCAAAATCAAATTTTTAAATAACTTTTATATTCAGGATTAAAAGAAATATATAAGTGGAATAGCCAATATCAAAGATTATGAACAAAATAGCCAGCACCAAAAATATAGGGCTTCCTTGGTTTCTTGTTTTGAAAATAATTTTTTATCTTTTAAAAAAATAAAAAACTTACTTAATAATTTGTTTTTTGTTGGATGTTTTAAAAAAAATGAAAAAATAGTAACATGTTTTTAAAGATTAAAAAATCAAAATAATTTATATTTTTTTTTCAAAAAAAATAGGAGAAACCTTATTCTCACCCATTGCTGGCCACGTATCACCATTGATGATGGTCACCACCCGCCAAATGTGATGTTTTATTTTTTTTATTTCAAATGTGATCTTTTAAAATAATTATCCAAACATATTTTTTTAATTTTTAATTCTCGAACAAGAAATACCAAACACCCTCCTATTGGATTTGGAAGACATTAGGAAAGCCGAGATCGTTAATGTAGGGGCCAACTTAGTGGTCTTGTCTCGGTTTTATTAATTCTCACGGGGCTTAGATATGTTTCTTAGCTGGTATTTGTATGGCATTATTGTCATATGCCAAGTCCTATATGCGCAGTTATTCAATCAACAGGTATATCAATCTTCTTTCTTTTCCTTCTTCCGTAATTATTGTTGAGTATAATGTAGTTTGAGTAGATTAAAAAAATTTTGTAACAAATAAGAATTGATTTTTTAAAGCATTTTTTTTAATCATGACTATCTTTGGATTCTTTTGCCAGTAATTTTGGAACTCTTATTTCAAATTTATATAATGATTCTTAAAGCTTCTGATATTAAAAAATTACCCAGTTTTTCTTTTGCACATAACTAATAAAGACACATGTCTATAATTCTTTATCAGTTACTAAACACATCTTCTCTCTTTAGCGAATTGAAACACTAATTCTTTATCTAACATACACCCAAATATAGGTTACCAACTTAAAGGTTATATTAATATACAAGAAAAATTGACCCGATGAAGTCAAGAAATTAAAGAGTTATTTAACTAATTTGAGGTGATTAAGAAAAATTTATAACAAATATGAGCTTATTTTCTTAAATATCTTTTTTAATCATGGCTATTTTTGGATGAAAATCCTTTAATATGTGTAATTAATAGGATAATTTAGAGAGTGAATTAATAAATTTAGGAGACAATATGAATTGAAATCTTATATTTATTAGCAAATCCAAATCCTAACTAGCTTTTTATATTAAAGATGGAAGGCACTATATAAAGTTTATTTTACGTTGCATCTCTTCTCGTCTTTGTTACGTAACATTTGAGTTTTCTAAAGAAAAAAAAAACACATGATTTGCACGGTTGAATGATTTTATGGAGTCCATTTTTTGATACTGTGCTGTGACTAATTAAAAAAGTTATTTTTTTAAGTTCCCTTCGAATCTGTGCTCCAAGACTTGTCATTCATGTTAGTAGCATCATATGTAAACAAATTACTTTTAACTTCACTAATTAACGAAAAGATGAGGAGCAAGGGAGAGAGCCAGAACGCGCTTCGTGAGGTTCATTTTGAATCCCTTTTAAAAGATAAATTAAAAGATAAGATGTTTTTCATAAAAATTAAAATATAAATCGTGATTATCTTAAATTTTAAACATGTATCTTTTTAATTATACATAAATTCTAAATTAAACATAAGTGAAATTAAAAAAATAAAATATAACAGATGATGACTCTAAAATTTTAAAAGTATAATTTTCTATAATAAAAAATTTCTACACAATAAAATTATTGAAATATCTATCCTCTTTGGATTTATTAAGATACTGTACAAAATTAAAAATCTCCCCAGACTAGTTACCGTCATGCTTAAACAAAGTTATTTTATGACATGCATGATATTAATATTGAGAGCTTTAATTTATTTAAAATATTTATTATATTTATATAATTTTTAGTCCATCCAATAGTTTACTTATATTTATCCTTACGTATCCAAATTTATCTAATTTGAGACGACATTCTTTTATATAAATAAGCTAGGAGGCTTTGTTTCCAACGTACGTCTATCTTTGGTAGCTCTCAGCTTAATTTATCGTTGTCGGACGTTGGGGAAGAAGGATAGCATCTTCATTAATTCTTCAGGTACTCTTATTTCTTTCCTTCTTAATTTCTCTCTCTCTTTTAGTTTGATTTTTCCTGGAAGGTTTCACTCTTTGAAAATACAGTTTAGACTAGTTTAGTGATCCTTTCAACTGGAAGAAGTACCCACGCATAACTTAAATCCCATAGTTATAACTGTGCCGATTACTCATTACAAAATAGAAATACTCATGTTTAAACCGATTTTTCCAGTTCTTTTAGCACTCTTTTGTTTTGCTTGGTTTGATGATTCCTTTATTTAGCTTTTACAGTTGTGAGTTAATACTTGCTTTATCTGGATAGCAATGGCAGACAATAGTCAACTTCTTCAGAATGGATCGCCTTCCGATCATTTGCCCGCCATAGAACTTATTCCAAATCCAGAAAACCACGGAAACCCTATGTCAGAAAAAGATCATTATTCTTCGTCATTGACCAGTCAACCTCAAAATCAAAGTTGTCTTGACAACATAGGATCTGATGAGAATATCAATGATCCCGGGCCCTTACATGCACTAGAGGCTCAACTGCAAAGCTTGAGAATTGGATCAAACCATGTCTATGGGAATATTAATATTACAAACCAACCAATACTAACTGCTGGAAACTTTGCCATTGGACCAAGGCATGCTTATGATGAAAGACTACTTCAAGGAAATAATGTTGTAGACCAGCGAAGCCAAGTTTGGAACTCTGAGATTGAGCCAAGTCATGTTTATAACAGACTATGTCATGGAAATAATACAAACCAGCAAAGCCTGGTAGGATACTTCGGGAGTGGACCAAGCCATGTTTTTGGAAATCAGCAAACCCTAGTTGGAAACTTTGGGATTGTACCAACCCATGTTTTTGGAAATAATACAAACCAGCAAACCCTAGTTGGAAGCTTTGGGATTGCACCAAGCCATGTTTATGAAGGACTAGCTAATGGAAACAATACAAACAAGCAAACCCTAGCTGGGAACGCAGGCATTGGACCAAGCGACGTTTCTAATTCTTCTTCTTCTGCAGCAAGGGTCGTCATGAGACAGAGATATAATAACATAACATCTCTGGAAGTTGTGAAGGGAATGGTAGCTTCAATCTCAAAAGAGGAAGATGGAAGTGAATTTCTGCTTAGAATGTTGGATGGGAAGAACCCCAGAGACATTAATTTCATTTCAACAGAGGTGTTGGATGACCTACATGATTTAATGATGGACCAGTTCGGAAAACGTGTGATTCAAAAGATATTTGATGTGCTCAAAGAGGATCAGTTAACCCTCCTGTTTGAATTCATCACTAATAACCTGGTCAAGTTTCAGAATGTTTGTGAAAACAATATCGGGTATGCTATATTTTTTTTAAAAATCAAACTATCTCTGTTTCATTTCATGATTTATCACATGAAATTATTTAAAACTCTTTGATATGCTTTTATGGTTTATTTGGTTTTTGTTTAGCAGATTTTTTTGACCTTTTTATTTTATTTTATTACAGATGTAGAGTTATACAAAATATGATAGATCATTTTACAACAGAAAAGCAAATGGTTGTCTTTACACGTGCTTTGAAGGAAACTATTGTCCCTGTGGCCACTTCTCACTATGGTAGTTATATCCTTCAGCACTTCTTAAAACTTTGTCCGCATTTTTCAAGGGTATAGTTGATACAACTCTTCATCCCTTAATTTTCTTATTATATATATAGTAATCAACACGTATTATTAAAATGGTTAATATAATTTTTAGTCCCTCAAATTTAGTCTCATTTTGATATTGCTCCCTAAAATTTCAGGATATTTTAGGTGCAATGGCATCAGAATGCAGTCTTATTGCCGCAAACAAGACCGGTTGTTCTGTTCTTCAAACATGTCTATCTATAGCTCCCCCACAATCTTGTTTCTTGTTGATTTGCGCAATTAGCCGTCGCGTATCATTGCTAGCACCACATCAATACGGGTGAGTATATCTGTCTTTGAATCTTCAATCAAATAAATCACTCTTTACATGAACTTAGATAAATATTTATTTGTAAGCTAATTAAATTGCTATATATATTTTTTATCGCAGGAACTATGTGGTTCAGTATGTAATTAAGCTGGCTTGTCCTGCAATAAATGAAGAAATAGTAAATAGACTTCGAGGTCACTATGTTGAACTGTCAATGGACAAGTATGCTAGTAATGTCGTGGAAGATCTGTTGCGATTCTCAACTCAGAAGAATGTTGTTATTATAGTTCAAGAAATAACGAGTAGCCCTAGCTTTGTGTACCTTCTTCAAGACCCATTTGGCAATTATGTTGCTCAGAGAGCCTTGGAATGTTCTCAGGTTAGATTCTTTTTCTCTCATTCTCTCTCTCATCCTTTGTGTTTTTGCACCTTTTATAATAATCTAACACGGTACCTCCTCGGTTCTTATTATGAACTTCAAATAACCAATTCATGGATAACAAATAATTAATGAAAAGTAATATATAAGTTAGAAATAAACTTTTATTTTCAAATATGTCCTTATAATAAATAAAAAGAATGTGTGGGGAAACATGATGAGAGATAGTATGATAAAGGAAAAAGAATAGATAATTAAGGAAAATTAAAAAAATTTATTAAATGTTAAAACAAACCCAAATTAAAGCTTATAAAATAAACACATCCCTCTCCAAATTTACAGTTTTATATAGTACTGGAGGGACTATATATGTAATTCTAATCAATAATAATAGTCTCAGTTAACTAATTAACTTTCTTTTCATATGCTTTGGTTTGCAGGGAGCTCTATATGATATGTTGGTTAGCACAATTTCGAGACATCATGAAAGTCTCCGTACTAATCAATATGGGAAAAGGGTGTTAGCATTTATGTACGGAGGAAAATGGATTTGGAATAATGCATTTGTAAAATGTGGATCGCGGGCAAATCATTAATTAATAATGTAGGCGTGTTGTTTCAGTTTTGTTAGTTGTCAATTCATAGAGGTTAGATATATAATGTATGTGTTTCTTGGTATTATTCTGTTAAGTTCTTGTTCGAGTTTTTTTTTTTTTTTTGGTCAGTAATTTTGGAACTCTTCTTTAAAATTTATATAATACTTCTTAAATCTTAGTTTTATTTTATGTCAATATATGTGATTCTATTTTTGATATAATTGTTGATTATTAGCGATTATAATTGTTGGATTGTAACTTGTTAATTTGGCTTTGGAAGTTGTCTACAGCTCATCTCCCGTATTGTTGTTGCTTAATTTTAAAAAAGAGTGTGGCTCTTGAAAAGAGATTATAACATGAAGTAGATGAGATTAATTACAATACATTATCCCATTTAATTATCTCAGCAAATCCAAATATAGCAAATATTCACTCAGCATAAATTGTGAATAAAAAATAAAGTGTGATTACTTCCAAGATTTTACGTTATACAAAAAGATATAAAGATGGGATGCTTATAAATCCTGACTGATTACCTTGAATTTTCAATATATATCTCTGATCCTTAATATAAGATCTAATTAAATAATTTGATTAAATTAATAATGTTAGTTAAATTAATTAGCATTATATCTTTTTTCTAAAATACCCTAAGTATTTTCCTTTACTCCCTCTTTCCCTGTTTTATTTTATTATTGTTGAGAGATATTAATAAGATTTATTTGGGAAAAAATTACTAAACATATGAAATAGTTCTTACATATAGGACCAACATAAATCTCTAATTAAGTCTAATTAAGGACCAGAAGAGTATCTTTATATATATAAATTATAAATTAAACATAAGTGATATAAAAACTAAAAATAACATTTTTTCCAAAAGAGATTTAATTTTAAATATAGAGATGATAACTCTAAAATTTTAAAAGTATGATTTTCTATAACAAAAAAAATTATACACAATAAAATTATTGAAATATTTGTCTTATCTTCTTTAGATTTATTAAGATGCTGTGCAAAATTAAAAGAAAAAATTTCAAAAAAATAACTGTTAAATTTTAAAATGACAAATCAAGAATTATTATAAAAATGTGTTATTATTTGCTTTTTGAGTGTAATCATTTTCTTTACAAGTGTAGTAACAGTACTGATTTGGAATTTTAAAATTCAATAATTTTTTTTGGGATTTTCTCAAATTAAAATGGCTCCAAACTAGCTCCAAGTCATGCTTTAAACGAAGTTATTTCATAACGTATATGCATGGCATTGAGAGCTTTAATAATTTATTTAAAATGTTTATTATATTTATATAATTTATAGAATTAAAATAGTTTGATTCGACTTGTCGTTCTGGTAAAAAATAGATTTATCGTTATTTATCCAGATTTATTTAATCCGAGACCGACCTTCTTTTCTATAAATGAACAAGAAGGCTTTGATTCCAACGTTTACCTTCGTCAACTCGTCCCAGACTGGAGAGGAGAAGAAGAGCATCTTCATTCCTTCTTTATCCCTTCATCGGGTACTCTTTCTTCTTTCCATCTTAATTTTCTTTCTTCCTTTCTTTTAGTTTGATTTTCTCCTGGAAAATGTCGCAGTGAATGAAAATACTGTTTATGCTAGTTTAGTGATCCTTTCAACTGAAACAAGTCTTCAATGTACCCACGCATAACTTGAATCTACCAGTTAACAATTTGAAAATTTTATGAACTCCAAGAACCTGGCTATGATTCATTTACAGTCCTTCTTTGTCCGTTCATCAGGTACTCTTTCTTCTTTCTTTCTTTCAGTTTGATTTTTCCTGGAAAATGTCGCGCTGAATGAAAAATACTGCTTAGACTGGTTTAGTGATCCTTTCAACTGAAAGAAATCTTCAATGTACCCACCCAAAACTTGAATCTCCACGTTAAGAATTTGAAAATTTTATGAACTCCAGGAACCTGGCTATTATTCATTTACGATATTATTTATTAGTTATAGTTTTATGACTTATCGCTTGTGTTACGTAATTGTTAATTCTTGATGATATTTGTCTATTTAACCACGCAAACTTCAATACTTCTTTCTCGTCGGTCATTAATTTTTAAATTCAAACCAGAACTTGAAAAATTATGAAGAAAAAAGAGTGCCCGTAAAACAGATGCTGTGATTCGGATATTAGTTTTACATTGATTCTATAATGATCTGAATGCTCTCAAACTGTGCAAATTAATTACAGTTGGGAGTTAATACTTGCTTCATTATTTGGTTATCTTGTGTGTTTTAACCGCGTCAGTTAGTTTCTGCTAATTGGATAGCGATGGGAGAAACTGGTAAATTTCTTTGTAAGGAACCTCCTTCTGATTTTCCTACCGTCGAACTTCTTCCAGATCCAGAAAACGACATGAAAGATCACGACCACGTTGGAGCACCTACGTCAGAAAAGGATGGTTCTTCGTTGACCAGTCAACCTCCAAATCAAAGTTGTCTTGTGAACAACATGGGATCTGAAGAGAGTATCAATAATCCACTGGAGGCGCAATTGCAGAGCTTGAGACTTGATGCTGGAGTGCAAAGAATTTTAACGAACCATGTTTATGAAGGAGCACTTCATGGGAATAATATTATCAGCCAGCAAGCCTTAACTGCTGGCCATGGAAATTCTGGGATTGGTCCTAGCCATGCTTATGAAGGAGCACTTCAGGGGAATAATATTATAAACCAGCAAACCTTAGTTTCTGGAAACTCTGTGAATGGACCAAGTCATGTTTATTATGGAGGAGCACTTCATGGTAATATCATAAACCAACAAATCCTTGCTGCTGGAAACTCAGGGATTGGACCAAGACATGCTTCTAAAAGACTACTTCATGGAAATAATGTTATAAACCAGCAAAGCCAAGTTTGGAGCTCTGAGACTGAGCCAAGTCATGTTTATAACAGACCATGTTGTGGAAATACAAACCAGAAAAGCCTTGTTGGAAACTTTGGGATTGCACCAAGCCATGCTTATGAAGGACTAGCTAATGGAAACAATACAAACGAGCAAATCCTGGCTGGGAATTTTGGAATTGGACCTAGCCAAGTTTCTAATTTTTCTTCTGTAGAAAGGATCTTCATGAGACAGAGGTACAATAACATAAAATCACTGGAAGTTGTGAAGGGCATGGTGGCTTCAATCTCAAAAGAGGAAGATGGAAGTGAATTTCTGGTTAGAATGTTGGATGGGAAGAACCCTAGAGACATTAATCTCATTTCAAGGGAGTTGTTGGATCACCTACATGATTTAATGATGGACCGGTTTGGAAAACGTGTCATTGAAAAGATTTTTGATGTGCTCAATGAGGATCAATTAACCCTCCTATTTGAATTTATCACCAATAACCTGCTCAAGTTTCAGAACATTTGTGAAAACAATATCGGGTATATGCTATTTTCTTATGAAACTATCTCTGTTTGATTTCATGATTCATCACATGAAATTATGTAAATCTTTGGTATGTTTTTATGGTTCTTTTGGTTTTTGTTTAGCAGATTTTGTAACTTTTTTATTTTGGTTACAGATCCGGAGTTTTACGAAGTATGATAGATCATTTTACAACAGAAAGGCAAATGGTTGTCTTTGCACATGCACTGAAGGAAATTGTTGTCCCAGTGGCCACTTCCCAATATGCTAGTTATGTCCTTCAGCACTTCTTAAAACTTTGCCCTCATTTTTCAAAGGTATAGCTAATACAACTCTTCATCCCTTAATTTTCTTATTATACATGTTGATCTCTGTTATTTTCAGGAGATTTATGATGCAATGGCATCTGAATGCACTCCTATTGCCACAAACAAAACCGGTTGTTCTGTTCTTAAAACATGTCTATCTATGGCTGCACCAGAGTCTTCTTTCTTATTGACTTCTGCAATTAGCCATCGTGTGTCATTGCTAGCACGACATCAATATGGGTGAGTATAAATCAAAGAAACCACTCTTTACATGAACTTCGATAAATATTTGTAAGCGGATTACGTTGTTTTATATTTTTTACCACAGGAACTATGTGGTGCAGTATGTAATTAAGTTGGCTTGCCACGCCATAAATGAAGAAATAGTAAATAGACTTCGAGGTCGGTATGTGGAATTGTGTATGGACAAGTGTGCTAGTAATGTGGTGGAAGATCTGTTGCTATTCTCAACTCAGAAGAATGTTGGTATTATAGTTCAAGAGATGATGAGTAGCCCGAGCTTTGTGAACCTTCTTCAAGACCCATTTGGCAATTATGTTGCTCAGAGAGCCTTGGAATGTTCTCAGGTTAGATTCTTCAACTTCATCTCTCTCTCACCCTAAATGTTTTTGTATCTCCCTTAAATTATACTCTGCCTCTTGTAATAATCTTTATACGGTGTATATATAATCCTGATCAATAATACTAAGCTAGTCTCGGTTAATTAATTTTTTGGGATATTTTGGTTTGCAGGGGACTCTGTATGACATGTTGGTGAGCACAATTTCGAGACATCATGAAAGTCTGTGTACTAATCAATATGGGAAAAGGGTGTTAGCATTTATGTATGGAGGACGCACATTTCAGCCGCTTCGAAGACTTTAATTTGGAAAATGGATTTGGAATAATGCATTTGTAAAATGAGCATCGAAGGCAAATCATTAATAATGGGGGCATGTTGTTTCAGTTTTGTTAGTTGTTAATTCATAGAAGGTGGATATATATGTGTTTCTTGGTTGCTATGTGTTTGTATTATTCTGTTAAGTTCTTGTTCGACTTTTTTTTTTTTTTTGTTAATCAGTAGTTTTGGAACTCTTGTTTGAAATTTATATAATAGTTCTTAAATTTTTGTTTTATTTTATGTCAATATGTGTGATTCTGTTTTTGAGTAATTCAATTGTTGAATTGTAACTTGTAATTTGGCACACTATCGGATTTAATTCTAATAGAATATATCAAATTTTATGCTTCCATATCTTTTTATAATACATGAACAAAATAAGATAATTACAATACATTATCCCATTTAATTATCCCAGCAAATCCAAACATAGCAAAGATGCACTTAGAATAACATCTACTCTCAAAGTCATATCTCTATATATAATTATGATGTGATGAAAATATGGTATAGATATCATGTTTTTTCATAGACATCAGGATAATGGATTTGAAATGCATTTGTAAGATCAATAATTTCAATTTAAATCATAGTTTTTATTGCAACATTTGTGTGTCGCCCCTATATTCTAAAGATCCGCCACGGCACGCGCGCGCACCAAACAGAGGGGGCGCCTGCATCACAAAGAAAAAATCAAAATTTAAAAAAAGGGGACCTATTTCTCTGCCAACCAATTTTTATCTACCTAATCCTCAGCCTACCAATTTTTTACCTACAGATGGCAGGAAACTGTCTTCACGACAGCAAATGAGTCATTAGTTGCACACAATACATGTACATATAATCTTAATTTGAATTTCTTATGGGCCTTAAATTACATTAGAAATTTGCCCACGCCAGGATAACTCTGAAGCAGAGGTTGAAAGTCCTAAATCAGTACATCCGCAATATGATATGTTAGGCTCCCATACTATGGGATGGACAGGGGCGCGGCTGGTCAGAATCATCCTTGGCATAGCCACTAGACGCTAACAAATTGATCTGCAAAGTGGGGGAAAGAGAATTAAAATTTGAGAATTGGACAAGTTGCGATCGAATTTTCATCTATTCTCCCTCATTATCGTTGCAACTGTACAGTGTACACCCTCAGAATTGTGTCCTGAAAATTTGTCTGAAAAAGCAGGGGAAAGGAGGAAGGGAATACTTGAAGGCAAGAGAATGAGAATGTGCTTTTTCTTTCTCCATATTTGGATGGAATGACCTGAGGAATGAGAAAAATTTTCTCTTTTTTTCTTTCCACAAATGGAATGGAAAATAATGGATCCAACTTTTTCTTATGCCTCATTTTCTTTCAAAGCAAATTGCTCAAGAGGCTCACAGGATCATTGAGATCGGGATGCTCTCAAATAACGCAAATAAGAAAGCAAGCTTGGCATTAATTTACCTTAACAATTTCAGACCTGGAAGCTGGACGCATATAGGCTGCTAACACGCTCATATTGAAATCCTGCATATAGCATCATTGCAAGGTCAAACGAAAACTTAATACCGAAGTGAACTCCAAGGTAATCCAGCTTTATGGCAAAGCATTCACGATTGATGCATAGACCAGTTAGACTAAGTATACGCAGGACAACCCTTCCAACTTATTTTAAAAGTTTCAAAATAATAACAGGGGAGGCCATTGTGACTATCGTCGCTCAGTGACACACATTTTTCTGAATCTGACAAAAGAAGTTGAGCAGGTCCGCTGAAACTCAAGGAATGTGTGAGCTGGTGTAAAATAATAACTGCTACGGTGTGTAGGATTACTCTCTATTAAATATTAATGGCCAAGTAAAATGCCCATGGGCGACTGAGATGCCCCAAAATCAATGTTGTTCATAGCAAACTCACACGATCATTGTTTTACAATGCTGGGTCTGCCACTGCAAACTCAAACCATGGAATCATTTTTGTGTAACCATAAAGATCAGCATAGATATAGTACTTTAGCTTCTACGAAATCAACCTCGTAAAGGAAAACAACTCCAGAGTTCAGAGGCATAGCCCAAATACAATATTTGAATTTGGCACGGGCAATTAAGAAATCAACCATCGAAGCATGATAAGAGAAAATTAAAAAGAGAGAGAGAGAAAACATGTGGATGGGAAACAAATAGTAATAATGACCATAAATTGTCCAAATTAGAGGAAGAAGTCCAATATTTAGAAATCCATATCGTTAGTCTCCCCTATGAGAATGCTAATAAGGGGTGCCATTTCCTTTTATCAAAAAGGGTCAAGCAGAAAGAAACTTACCCTGAAAGGATCACCCCTCAAAGATTGAACATACATAGAACTTCCAGAACTTCTTCCCTGCAAAGACACATCCCTATTATATGCATACAATTCATTCAGATTTGACGTGTTAAATGGTGGTGATAAAATGTTTACATTTGGAATAAGCAGTTGATATGCACTCTGTCTGATAGATAGAATGCACAGGCAAACTTTTTCACATTCAATGGATATGGGAATTGGAACAGAAGAACCATTTTTGAACGCTTAACAGCGACTTACAAAGCTTGCCTAGCCAATGTAGAATTATAATTGAGTGACGCACCTCAAGGGATATATCCCTCAAACGCCTCCCTGTTTGAGCACAGCATATACGAATGACTTGTTCATCACAACTCCCACTGATAATATAGTCCCTCCCATTCATGTAATATGAACGAGTGTAGTTCTGAGAGCTTCCAGTGGAAGCAATATCAAAAACCAAGTGAAGCCTACCATCAACAGCTAGAAGTTGTCTAACCTGTCATGTAAAATTTACACATTACTTCTGACACCAAAATAATTTCCTCAGGACTTCATAATCAACATGTCACCAAGATAATAAGTTACATGCATGAGTGCTAGCCACACAAAATCAATATGTAAGAAAGAAAATTGCACAAGTCCAATGAAAAAATGTCAAACTTTAGGTAGCTCAGGTTCCAGTCAATAAATATCATATTCACATACATGATGGATAAGAAATCAGTATGAGGTTTAACTAATGAAATCTACAAGAAAAAATATGAGAAAGGCAATTAAATGAAGGGGAAGCAAGCAAAGCGAATGACAAGCAGAACACCAAATGAATCACCCAGCTCCTGGAGACTTTGGCTACTTGTTTCAAATCTAACTCAGATTTCAAAGGCAGTGCATATCTTAATAATTACACCTTGAAGTGTCCAGCAACCCCACAAATCGTCAATAATGAGTTACCTCATTGTCAACAGCTGATGCAAGAATATATTGGTCGTCTGGAGAAAAGCAGGCCATAACGTTTCCTCTAGAGCTTGAAGCAGTGAAGCAAGGGTGTATGGGTTTTTGTCTCAGATCCCACATTTTGACATCCTGATCAAACGACGAAGTGGCAAAAATTGAAGGAGAATGATTTGCAAATTTAACTACATTAATATGCCCCTGATGCATATCAGTGAACACTTGCAAGCGCTTTCCATTGCTGATGTCATATAAAGCAACATTTCTTGAATAACCACTTGCAAGAAATAGTTCATCTGTGGAGTTGACATGCACAGATGTCAACTGGTCAAACTCATCAAAAGTAACACAGCCAGAACTGCCATATATGCCCGTACTTTTTCTTCCAATATGATGGATGTCATATAATTTCAAGGAACCATTGTCCGAACCTGCTATAAGCTGATATGAATCAGGGGGAAAAAAATAGAAGCAAAGCATCAGACGTCACCATTATAAAGCCAATTCCTTTTTATTTTAATAAATCACTAAATCCAGTCTGATTGTGATAGCTTAACAATATGATGCATAGTGCTTGCATACTCCAGTTATTTAGGGAAAAAAATAATCTCTCTCCAATCTAAAATACTTTAGCCTCCACAAGGTTATAAACAAAAGAAAATTCAAAATCTTGCAAGGAGGTGTCACAATCTAGGTTCATGAATGAGATGACAGCACACAATTACATATGAAGCTGTTACATCACACTTAAAAGATAATAATCAAGCTGGCTATATTCTCTGTGTCACCACTTTCCTCACAACAAAAACATACCTTGGAGGGATATTTCTTGAGCCAGCAGAGTCCCAATACACTATTCATTGCTCCAAGTGACGGGATATAACTCACAATCTGCTCACTCTCATGGTTGATGACAACTACTTCACCATCTAAAGTTCCAAAGACCATCAGGCTGGAGTCAGATGGATGGTACTCAAACTGCCTTGGACGAAAGACTCTATCTTCACCTCCCAAGCGACAGCCAGATAGAGAAAGGGGGCACAAGAAAGGCCAAGTTGAAGACCCCACTTTTGCAGCAGAGAAAGACCTAGCATAAAAATATTGGGTCTTTCCAGAACGATATGATGGCCTGTACTTGAGGCTCCGCACATTTAGACGACTTGATTTTATTTCACGGTTTTGTAAGATATTAACAACACTCTCCTTGTGCTTCCATCCGTATGGTAGATACTCAAAGTGTTGAGAAAACATTTCAGTAGCCTGTTCCTCGTCAATCTTTTTTATAGGTAAATTATCCAAAACTTTCAGGTTGGGTAATGAAGCTATCATAAATTCTCTGTAGTGTTTCTCATAGCATATTGGTGATGCATGACAGGGCATATACTTCCGAGAACCTTCAGCAGTACGCCTTGCAGAGGCACCTCCCAACAAATCCTCTTCATCTTGATTCTGGAAAGCAAAATAGAAAAGCTAAAGCTGAAAAGAATTTTAAAATTACAGCTTCACTAATAGAAACTTTAGACCTAAGTAATTATATAACACCATGAGCCATTTTAATGCAATTAAATAGAAAAGACTTATACAATAATTTCCTAAATATGTTGCATGCATAATATAATCTAAGGCATTCAAAGTCATTGACAAATTTTCCAAGGACAACGTTACATTACAGTAAAAATTGAACTAGGCAGAAGAGAATGACAACATACTTACAGGTTATGAGTAATAC